GCTGTCACAATGTGACCTCATGTGTTCACATGGTACTTAAGGTAGGTAGGTAAATACTTAATCTTAGATATTGAACGCCGAACAAAGCTGCTTCCACAGTTAAACACTTTTTTTATTTTGCGATTATTAATAAGTGATCCCCTGACTAGCTAAGTCAATTAGCTAAGTAGCTAAACACCTGTGCAACTGACCTGTTAGTAAGTGTGTGGGCTGCCTTCTGTTTTTTTTTTTTTTCTTTTTTTTAATAAGCACAGAATTCTGCAGCACATCTATATGTTAAGGTTGTCAAAGTCAAGCCAGCTATTTTTTATTTATTAAAATATATAATTGTTGTAAGTTTTAAGTCAATACACAGTCAGTTTTGTGGAAGTACAAGGGTGTGTGCGTGTGTGTGTGTAATGATGGTGTGAGGTGCAGAATGTCTGTCGGTGCACCAAGGCATGTTTTTAGTGAAAGTGGTCGGGAACCCACTGTTCCTGACAACAACATTGGTCATTGGTCAGCACTAAAGCTGCTTTTCAACCAGAACTCAACGAGGTGCTGATGTCGATCACTGTCACAGACTTCTCTTACAGGTGCTGAAATTTCTGGCAATCAGAAACCACTTTCCGTCCTGCTCGACCTCCGGTGGAATGCTAGGACTCTCCAAACGGATCCCTGGTGTGTTTTGCACTTTCAACACAACAAAAAGACAAACCAGAAACAAGTTTCACCGATTCCTCTTCAAATACGTCAGTTGCTCTTGTGAGTCATGGAGTTTCGAAAGCCGTGTCAGATCGCCTAAAGCTGCATTTCAAAGCTAATCCCTCATGAGCTAAATTTACAGACTGACCACTGGGGGGGAATTTAAGGACTTCTTATATATTTTTAACCTTTCTCTCTTAGATTTGGAGTTTAAAGGACATACTTCTCCTCATACACCTAAAGAAAATCTATTTTTCACATTTCATATGTCATAAGTCAACACAAGAAAATCTGTCAATGTCCACAAATCATTTTCCGAAATAAAACCACAAACTGCCATCTCCAAATGCTTTTATTTTATGTTTATCTATAATAATTATCTACAGCAGTGACTCATTTTGCTTTGTTTGAGCCGAATGAATGACAGATTGTAAATCATTATTTTGGAATGGCCACATGCAGTCACATTACATAAATTAAAATGTGAATTCCAATGAAGCTCATCTGTCAGACTAAAAGCACTTTCTGAAAATAACATACTTTTCTATAAGTCCACATTTTTTTATATTCTCGTATTGATCTACTGCAACATTCTAATCATAAAAGTCATTAGTTGTACTTAAGGTTTGAAAATGTCACTGTGTCTAACTTCCACCCGGGCGTTTTGTACAGCTGAATGGTTGCCATGGGAGATTAAAGGGAATAACATTATAACTTGATGCTCAAAGAAATAAATTTTACCTTTTAACATTTTCTCATATTTTTTGATTTTGGACATGAAAATAAACACTAATAATAAACACAAAAATAAACACAGCTTTAGTGTTTAGTGCTAATGACCAGCTGATGCTTTTTTTCAGAGTCAGTAGAGGTAACCGCCATGTTTCAGTCTACAGAAAGATCTAACTTTAAACCCAGACCGAGTCTGCTTGACAGAGTATTAAGATTTGGATTTGGCTTTTCTATGAACATCTGGGCTAAAGTAAAAACAAGAGATTAAAATTATTGCCTCAGCTAAACAGTCCAGGCTATTATTTCTCTGTCAGACTATGTGCAACATAGTTTTTCCCTCAGGCAAATTGGTATTTTCCACTTGACGATTCCTGAACTTGTAGCTCTCCACCAAAAAAGGAAAAACACATGCACGACATTTGTTTATTTCTCTCGTTGTTTTCTGCATTGTTTTTCGGAAAAACGAAAGGAAAAAAAACGCAGAGAGGAATGTTTGGGCTGCCTATCTGAAAAAAAAAGGCATTTTGAGGAAATGTTCTTTCAGAGCAAAGAGAGAGAGAGAGAGAGAGAGAGAGGAAAAAAAATTCTTCTGTCACATTCCAGAGCAGCCGAGTTAATGAGAGCCTCACGCTTCCTGCACATCATTCTCCGAAGTAATAAAAACGCTGGATGAAATGTGGAACTATAAATAGTCTCAAAGTAACTAATAATATCACACGCTGGCTGCCTGCCAGTGTTGAGCTCATGCTGTGTTCTACTGACCCTTCGGTGTGGAAATCCAACGCAGCTTCATCCTGAGCGGCATCCAAAGAAAACTACTTTTGTCTCTGTTTCTTTTTTTTTTAACAATGAAATCAGCTCATGCAGAAACACTGAAAAGTCCATTTTAAAATGGTTTGTACCTTCAGAGCACTGTCTGGGTAACATAAAATTCTGGAGCTCATGATCAACATGCAGAACATGCAACTAAAAATCTGGGCGGCGTCCAAGCACAGAGTAATAAGCTATTTTCCAGAGACGTAACGCTGTGTTCCTCTGACATTATACTTCTGGATTAAAACCAGTAGCTCACGTGTTACTTAAAGCTGCACTATGTTACTTTTATAAAAATGTTATTTTAGATATTTTTCAAAACTGTCACCATGTCGTGAAAGTAAGGTCTGAGACACATAATCTGTGAATTGTTTTTTTTTTTTTTAGCTTCTTTGCTTTTTTGCAGCGCTAACTAGAAACAACCAATCAGAGCCAGGAGGCGGGACTTAGCACTGTAAATCATCCTCCGTATGGTGATGCTCATCCCCCCTTTGCTCTCTGCTATGCTGCAGCTAGCAGAGCCTGTAGTGAATGCTAAGGCTAGTTAGCATAGCTACTGATGACGGTGGATAAACTGTTTTCTTGTAACGGTAAGTTGTTTCTGCGCCGGGTAAGTGCTACACATTTAGCAGCGAGTACATGAGGGTTATTGACAGCATCAGGTCCCCCCCTCTGTCTCTCATTGGTAGTTTTTGTGGCACATTTCTTTGGACAGCAGTAATAGTCCAGGGAGGATGTGGAGTAGAGTGATTTTTTTCCACAGATCTGTTTTGTATCATACTGTCATGACAAGGTGACAGTTTTAAGAAATAAGTAAAAAAACATTATGTTTTAAAAATTACATACTGCAGCTTTAAGCTGTTTTCTTGTTGATGCACTCTAGTTTAGAGCAAATGTCTGCTTTGATTTTAGCGCTGTAGTCAGAAAACACTGCATGTACGATGAATTCAGATTTATGCACAGTGGGCAAACATCTCTCCTGTTCTCAGAAATATTTAAGATCTAGAGCAGTCCGACCTGCGGAACATGTGCATCTCAAGAAAGTGTAATGACACCACTATGGTTGTCATTCATCAGTTATTAATTACAAGCTTAATTAATAATTGCATGTATAGTGCCATACTTCATAATTTTCACTGAAAATGTGGCTACTGAAAACGACAAATTCAATAAAAAAAAGTACGGTGTTTTATTGGTTTTTAAAGTAGTATTTATGTGGTGGTGATTGCAATGTTCCACCCGTGTTGGGCCCATGAACGCACCTCGGCTCCCCTCCGCCTGCCACCCGCCCCCCGGCTTTCCGTTTGCAGCGATCCGTGGCTCATTAGTGTGGCAGGCACCAGGTGTGCACGCCAACGATTTCATTCTCCAGGGCGCTGGCTGTTTGCTCGGTTGCACGTGGCTGGTAGAGCGTCCTAACTGGGTCAGCGTTGATGTTGTGCTCCTCAGGACGCTACAAGTAAGCCTTGGGACCCAAAAGATGGCGCTGGCGTTTTTGGTTATGGTGGCCCACCGTGATTATTTTATAGGATATGCGAAGGTACAACAACATACCACAAGATATATCTGTACTTTGTGTTGTTTCAGAAGTTAAAATGAAGCATAGCATAGTGTGTTTAAGCCATGTTGAAGTGAAAATGAATGTCAGAGAAACTGCTAGAGATGTCTTTTTACTGTTTTATGGGCTATGCTCTTCATAATAAAACATAATTATCCCCATATGACCACAGCGTGACGTCACGAGCCCCCAGCATCCTGCTGGAGGGCAAAAAAACTGCTGGCCAATGATGACTAGCATTGGTTGTAGCTGTTGTCAACACAATGCGCTAAATCTTAAATGTATGTATGATATTTAAAAGAAAAAGGGACACAATGACTTACTACTAATTGTCAACATGACAACAATTAGATAACAAGGTCAGGAAAAAAGTTTTAATAAAAAAATATAGTGAGGAAGAAGGAAGTAGGTCAATTATGCTAGCTTGACTTTGACAACCGTAACACTTAGATTTGCTGTTGAATTTGATGTATTTCGGTTCAGTAAAAAACAAAAAAGCTGACTCACACCAACTCGGATCATAAGTAGAACAGGTGTTTAAATTAGCTAATCAACCACTGCTGTAGATTAGCTAATAGCAGTGGTAGCAGAACTACAGCAACTTTTAGTAATAAACATCAAGCCTGAAAACGTAAAGCTGTTTCCCACACAATGTTTTCTTTGTGTGGGAAAGGTTTGCATGTTTTTTGGTGTTGAGTCGTGATACATTAGTGGCGTTATCAGTTGCAATGGCAACGTCTGTGCGTAGCGTAGCTGACACGTTCAGAGAAAAATGAAGAATAGAAGTGGTTTTGAGTTTTTTGGCGTTATTTTACCTGTTCTGTGGCGCTCTGCGATAAGTTAATAATACCTACATCTCCAGGTTTCATTTTGTCAACAAAATGATTCTGCTGCGGCAAAGGATGTAAAAGAAAAGTGCAAAATTTCCAGATGTAAATAATAACATGCAACCTGTCCATATATATATCCATGTAAAATAACGAGCTCTTTGTTAAAGTGGGTTCTTAAAGTATGAAAACCAAAGATTTCACTTGTGGGGTTTTTTTTCTGTTTACCCTACCAATAAAAAAATTGTCAACTTTAGCAACTTTTTCACTGATATAACATGATAATAACTGTGATACCTGCTGTAAACTTTGACTTTATGGAAAGCTAAAATAACACTAGGTTGGACAATGACTGACACATTTATGTAGAAAAGCATTATTTGAAAACAAACGCTATAAAAGCAATTCTCTCACACACAGTTTGTGCACAAAACTATTTTTGTACACCAATCACTCCTGACTCCATGACCTGTGTGTATTTTAAGGGATATGAATAGTTTTGCAAGGCAAAGTACCACATTTATTATTATGTTATTATCTAGTGTTGCTTACCTTGCAATGATTAATGTGAAGATTTTTACTATCTTTTTCAATAAAATCTCTAACCATTCCATCTTTAGGAATTTGATCCAGTCAGTGCCAGAACTTCCCCTTGGTGTAAAAGTCAAATTCCTAAGAAACTTGGAAGTCACTAGTCGCACTTTCAAACTGTCACCATCATGCTTTAACTCATAAACCTTTTTAAAGCTATTACTAGTGACACAGAGACTTTACAGATGTTTTGGGTTTGCGATAAGGTCACGATGACATGGATTTCCTTGATTCTGAGAGCTATAAAGTTTCCTCCAGCCGTCAGTTGCCATCATTCACAGCTTCCTCTGCTTATCTCTGTCTACATGTGAGCATTTCCACAGCAGTAAACTACATATAGAAATTAAAATTCATTGTTAGAGAAATATCTTCACCAACATATCCTCAACAGTGCAATCAATTTAACAAGAAACTGCTGGATCACCCGCATCCTTTTGTGAACAAAAAAGCTATTAAATGTGCCAACATAATCATGATTTATTTTTTTTATGTCTTGAAAACTTTTGGGTATGGAAAAAAAAATTAATCCTCATGACTGAGGATTAAGTTTATGAATCTACAGAGCACCAACTCAAAAGTCAGGTCTTTTATTTCTATGTAAACAACTGAGAGGAAAATGACTGTCTGCATGTTTGGAACGTGCAGCTAGTTTGGTTGAGTTACAAGGAGCCAAAGATAAGGGAAGCCCACCCTGCCGGGACAAATAACTCGCCATGCTTTGGTCTTGTTGTGAAGATGGGACATGTGTTTGTTGCTCTAACTTAGAACAACAAACACATGTTTCGGGCACTAAATAACCTTCAGCAAACATTTGTTGCAGGCCTAAAAAGCAAAATCTGGTCTGCCAAAAAACCTTGGTGTCGGTTCGGTTGAGGTGAACTCTGGCGCGGTTTGAGTGCATATGTGAACGGCAAGCGGACCAGAGATCACACTAAAAAGCAGCAAGCGGACTACAGCGCAAGGCATTCTGGGTAAATACAACTAAAACAAGCGTATGAGTCCAGTGTTAGTGGGAGAAATGCCAGCAGCCTAAGACAAAAGAGAAATCCTACAACTGCTAACACCTGACTGAGATCTTCTACGAAGAAGAAAGTTGCGTTCAGTGTCTTATTTAGTGGTTTTGTTTCCTTCAGTGGTACTTGGTGCAGCACCACCACAGGCGAGGAGAGAAACTGATTTTTTTTAAAGGGTTTGGATCATTTGATACTGCAGCAGCTGAAAATGTCTCAAATGTTTCAATTTTGGTCCCCAATCAAACCGAGTCTACCAGACTATCAGGTGGAAAACATCCTTAATCTTTGTCAATCATAGTTTTGTTTTCTTTGCATGTTGACTTCTCAGTAATCCTAAAAACTAGTCTTGCTTCAAAACACATTTTAGCTTTAGGTTATTGTGAGCCCACAATGACATACATAATCTGATTTTGGACTGAAGTTTTGAGTTTTTTCTCTTAAGTTTTTGGCAGAAAACGGACTGACAGTTGGAGATTCTGGTGATAGCTTGAGCAAGACTGATACCAGTCTTGACTGTTACCGAGGCAGCTTTTTGTTAATATTTAGTCTCAATAGTGTCAACTAACTCTGACTGGTCTTGATGCCCAGATCAGATGTACATTTTTAGTAGCTAGGATGCTGCAGCTCACAGTAAACTATGTACATTTTGGACTGATCAAAATAAAATTATATAAAAAAAGAGTAAAAATAAAAAAGTGGGTTAATGATAATCAATGCCATCGTAGCAAAATTGTTTTCCTGTTATTGTGCACCTCTGGTTACATTTAATATTATGATCTGTGTGACTCATCACCATCAAGTTGATTTGTACCATCATTATTTATATTCGCTGGCCTTAATTTTGTTGGCGCCCCAGGGGCCCACACCCTCCCAAACCCGGCTCTGGTCGAATTCTCATCTCATATTGTGATTTTCATTTTTTCACTGGTATTTTTCAAAAACCTTCACACTGATTTGGATGTCGTGCTGACTAAGTGATTTCTTCTGGTCCTTCTGGCACTCGTCATCTGTTTTGATCAGTTCCCATGTCAACGGGACAACTGCTTGCATACGAGAGCAGCTGACTGAGCTGCATGCAAAAAAATTCCATCTTACTCCAGAGTAATGCTCTTACGTAATGCCTTTAAGTGCCACCAAGGAGGAGGTATTGCTGATTTTGGAACGGTGAGAGTTTAGATCGGATGAGCTCTAGGAATTCAAGGCTCTCCCTTTTCCTAAAATTACAATGACAGTTAAAACGAAGCACACCAACTTTTACTAACGAAGCACACCAAAGTACGTCATAAATAGTGCAGCTTATGACAGAACCTGAATTATTGTTTTGGGTGAAAAAAAACTCTCCTCCAAAGAGACTGTTGCCTGGTACACATTGCAAAATTTCAAAATTATCAACCAATTTGTAGGTGTGTGAGAGACGACACACACGATTAAAAGTCTTAGGTATAATGGGTTTGGTTGTAGAGTGCGTGGTGTGGAGCCACATGGCAGGAGCAACACACACCATACACAAACTCATTCACTGTCACTCAGATTTCAAAATTTCTCGAGACCCAACGTGAGTTCAGAGTAAGTAAACATGGCTGGCTGGGAAGAAGCAATGGCGATAGTATAGTGTACAGGCTACCAAAGAAAAACGGTACAAAGACTCTTAACATCCACTGGACTTTCTGGTGAGCCGTGGCAGCTGCTTTGTCTTCTGTGTCTTTTGTCTTCTGTCACCTTGCTTTCTGATGGGCAATCAATGGTTGGGATTAGCGTGGCATTATGTGGGTTTTAAACCATAACCGCTAGAAACAATCTTAAATTAATGCTACTTTAATCAGATTTTATTGTTTTATTTACTATTGTTTTGGGCGGAGGCAGTGATGAGCATACTTTAGCTGATGTGTTAATAGCATAGATATTTTTTTTGTTCAGGGTTTTTGCTAACCTTGAAAACAGTTAGCACAAGTAGCTTCCCTTAAATTAATTTAGCTAATTTACTTTACGGTTTTATAAACTTTAGTAGTTGAAGTTGAACATTTGTGTTGAAGTTTTTGTTATTGACTCTTCTTCAAGTAGTCAGACGTTTTATAATCTTGCTCTGTTCCAAAAAATCTCTTCTTGAAATACAACCAGACAGGTAGGTGTGCAATTTGTCCCTTATGAGGGTGATATACACAGTTGTTGTATCACTGACACGGTAGATATGAACATCATTGAGTTTAACACTTTAGCATTAGCTTCTGCTAAATACCTTGTTGGTGTAGCGATTTAGCAATAGTGGAACTAATGTCTATCACTAGTGCTTTAGGGTTAGCACAACAAACTTTTGAGATAGCAACCATCACTCTCTGAGACCTGGAATAAAACTTTAGTGCACACTCATTCTGTCACCTGCTAACAAACAGATGCTAATGGAGAGATCCGGTTTGTTTGAATTGATTAGCTTAAGTTGGGGAGCGCCTGTTCAGCTTAAAGCTTGTGTTCCTAATTTTTGCAGTGCGTGTAGTTTCCATAACGACAGTGGGCTAATTTATACATAATGGAGTCTGTGTGGACATTTAAAATCACACCTGACTGAGTCAGAGTGAAGCTAAGCCATTTGAAACACCCATTTACACTCTGAATTTACCAGACACTCAGAAACAGTCTCTATACAACAACCGAGAGAAAAAAAAAAGTTCTTTATGTTTTAATCACAACCAAAAGCTTCTGTCAGGACAGATTCTTATCAGGGTTTTACCAGCATACTATGGTGCAGTGAAAGCTGAAGAATATAGACTTATTAAAATTTGATAATGAAAACCTGACTATGTAGACCAACTTTTTGCCTTTCCTTAGCCCACACTAAAATCCAGTGCATCCACTTGCCTTCAGAAACCACCTAGTTAGTAACTATATACAGTAAATCCCCCTGCTAAGGTTTGTTTTAGATGACTTAAACCAAGAAACACAGCAGACAGAGGAAGGATAAAGTTATGGAGAAGTTTAAAGCAGGTATAAATTTAAAAACAACACACCAAGCTTTGGACTTTCCACCATATACAATCTGTCATCCATGTGTTTATTCTAATTCCGTAGCACGTTGAAATTTACATGTAAAGTGTGTTATAGATAAAATTCCATTATCACTATTATAAAAACAGAAACGGCTTGGCGAAACATGGCTGAAGAAGTTACAACCGATTTGGAAAGAAGAGCGTTGATCAAAGAACCAGCCCGTGATAACTCTGGGGGAGTTGCAAGTAAAGATCAGGTGGAAGAATCTGTTGACAAATCTGGCCTTTATGGAAGACTGACAAGAAGAACGGTGTTAAAAAAGAGCCATGTAGGGCTGTGCCAGGTGCCATATCAGGCCCAGTCAAGGTGCAGTTCAGTTTGTCAATCGATTGATTAATTGAACTGTACGTCATCCATGGTGGCACCATCATTCTATAGGGATACTTTAGTTTCCCTCGATTACAAGTGACAGAAAAAAAGAAAGGAGACTCAAGACTCAGGTTAATGTTCACCTCAGAACAGAAAAGCAAATCACAACCTTCACTTGACAGCTATGTGCAAATACAATTATGCTATCATAGGAAATGCCTATGAAATATAATGAAATGTGTGGATGTAAAGCAGCACGATATGAGAGTTTGAGGGACATAAATACTTCATAATCACCATAAATTAGGAGTCCAGCAGTAACCTTGATTTTCTTAATTTTGGCAGATCAGTAATCGACTGATACTTCTCCTTTTGAGATGTCAAGATGTAAAGGGCATTATAAGCAAAATATATTATGACTTACACGGGAATCCGATCTTGGGAAAGATCTAAAAATCATCTACTGTTCTCTTTTGCTCTACTGTGTGAGAGATTTGACCGACAGAACCGCTCCCCACAAGGTCACATCTGCAGGTTTGCAGTTAATCTTTCTCTTTTCGACTAAAGTCGGAATCGGCAGGTCAGGCTTCTTAAAGATCGGTAAGATCGCCCAGAAAACCACAGTTGGTGCAGCCTGGGTGTAAATGTCAATGAACTTTACAAAGGCCAAAGTGTGAAAACATGCTATTCTGGTAACATGTCAGAGCAGGACAAAAAGGAGCAATAACTTTGATGAAGTTATGATTCCCACAAACTATCACTCATGCCATTTGTGGGTCCGCCTGCAGCAGTCGGTCTCTGCATGTTTCTGGTCTGAGTGTCTTCGTGAGGGGTGGACGGGGTTGACATGAACTGTCAAGCAGTCCCTCCCACTGGGTCTGGCATTCAGGTACAGCTCCCTCCCTCCTCTTATAAAGCCCCTCATGTCAGCAATGTAATCTTCAGACTTCAACCCATGGCAAAGCCTTTACAGCATTGAAGAAAAAAAAAAAAAAACAACTTCACTTATAATAGACTTTGATTCCTCTATATCACGTCCCAAGAAAGACTCTGTGGTGAGTAACACTTTGTGGATTTTAAATTGCCGTTCTAAATATTGAGAACATTAAATCTAGAAGCTGTAAAGAGTCATAACTTGTTAATCTTGAGCAAACTAAATGCAGTTTCTACATATTCTGATTGACAGCTTCGAAAATGAGATTGTCTCTCCAAACTGTGATGTGCTGCTGTGTTTTCACCACTGTGGTCCCACTAATCAGAGGGGACCCTGTGGAGCCCCACGGCGCCCTGAAGAAAAGGTGAGCTGCCTCACAAGCAAGCAGCAGAGGACATTTTGTTCACGAGATGGTCGCTCATATATTAGGAAATAAATAAAGCTGAATAATTGAACTTAAAGGCTTGATTTTTTGGGGGGAAAAGAACCTTTTAATATTTACTAAAATTATTGTGGTATTGGCGATAGATATGTTAATTTGACTGGTAAATGATGTTGCTTCCTCCCGTTTCTGTAAATGTTTGCTGCAGGTTCAGAGAATGGCTGCAGAGCCACATGAGCAGGGACCCCCACACCCAGCTGAGTGCAGCTGCAGAGCGGACCTCTGTGGGACCAGAGCAGAA